ACTCCTCATTGACCAGTGCCTACGGTCAACTCCCCCCCCCCACCTCCCCCCCCACCCAGCTCCGCCACTGTCAAGCGCTCTGGGATGCTGCCCCGCGTGAGGGGCGCGGTGTAAGTGCAAGTAGTTGTTGTTGTCGGTTGTGGTTGTGACACCCCCTCTGCCCTTGCTCCCCCCCACCCCAGGTAACGCGTCACATGGTCTGCCCGCTGCTGGGGATGGTGCAGGCTCTCCAGAGGCAGAGCCGAGACCTCGTGCTTCTCATCGCCAGGAAGGACGCCGAGATCCTGGACTACAGGGAGAACGGAGCTGCTCTGACTCGAGGTGAGGACCCCCAGGGGTCAGGGAGTGGGGGTCAGTGAATTCCTGTGGTGTAGTGGTTAGAGTGCTCGCCCTGGCAAGCGAGAGGACCCGGGTTCGATTCCCAGAAGCCTCTGTTTACCTCGGAGTAAGTAGGAACTCGGCTGTTAGTTGATTTGTGACTCGCTTTCCGGGGGTAATAATCGCTCCTCACAAAAGGAAAAATAATGAGAATTTGGTCTCGCAATCCCTGACTGTGGGACACTGCTGTGTACGATTGGCTGCCACGTTTCACCCACAAAATACACAGTCACTACACTTTATGCAGTATATCCTGTGAATCGCTTTGAGATGTCTCAAGGACGTGATAAGGCGCTGTATCAAATGCAAGGATTATTATTGTTCATGTCGAGAGGACAATCCCAAAGCGCTGGACAATCAGGGATTTGAATCCGAGCTGGTAAAATAGCCGACAGCTTTCAGGGTTCGGTGGAGTGGGGATGGTTCCGAGTGCGGGAATTGACTCCAGTTTTTCTATCATCCCCCTTCCCTCTCTCCCTCTCTCCCTCTCTCCCTCCCTCCCTCTCTCCCTCCCTCCCTCCCTTTCTCAGCCATCAGAGAGAGAGAGAGAGCGCGAGAGAGAGAAACCTGATTAAGTGTAACTCTCTCTGTTTGTTTGTTCTGTCTCTCTCTGGCTTCCAATCTGCAGTTATATTTATGTTTCGGGGGTGAGTGACTTTTCTCATCAGCCTCTTATGTTCAGGGTGACACGGGGGGGGGGGGGGGAGGGGAGAGGGGAGAGGGGGGGGTGATGGGGTGGGTGGGGGGGGAGGAGAGTGCCGGGGGCTAGACCCGGAAAATCGGACGTCTGACCTTGGGCAGTTTACAAAAGGCTTTGGTTGGATTGGGACCAGATTTGGGAGTAACCTCCTCGGATGTTGGATTAGTGTAGAAAGTGAGCCTGGTGGGAACTTCGTGCTGTCAAATGTTAAACGTTTAAACTGAAGTCTCGGTGCTTCCCAGTTTTCTGATTCCCTCAACCCCCTCTCTACCCCCTCACGCCCCCCCACCCCAAACTCATCCTAACCCTCCCCCACCCCATCCCGTAGCCTAGTGGTGAGAGCGCTCGCCTCGATTCCCGGGCAGGGCGAGACCTTAGGCAAACTGGCTGTCACGTTTCACCCCCAAAACGCGCAGTCACTCCGCTTCACAGTATATCGTGTGACGCGCTTCTGAGACGTCTGGAGGACGTGATAAGGCGCTGTATCAAATGCACGGATTATTGTGATTGTTATCATTATAAATACATAGATATATAAGCGAGGTTAAGGTTCAAGTAGTTAAGCAACGAGTTAGTTTTAAGCTAGTTTTAAGTTTCATTTCATTAAAAGGAGCGTTGGTTATCTTAATAAACGGTACGTTTTTTTCCCATCACTAGGATAGCCTCCCCCCTCCCCCACACACACACACACACTCCCTCCCTTTCCTTCCTCACCCGTCAAGTGGAATTTAGGCACTCCGTTAGATACGAATACATCACACGTACATAATCGTAATGATATTCTGAGGAGCACCTTCAGGAATGGAGTTATTTTAATGTTTGGTGAAAGTTGTGATTGGAAAGGAATTTGGGTTCCCAGTTGATCTTGGCTTGTTCCTTATTTACCGGATCAATGTGTATGGAATATACTTTTTTTTTCTATTCACTCGCTGTCTCTCCCCCCCTCTCTCTCGCTCCTCGCACCGTGAAATGCACCGTCTCAGACCATGTGTTGATTTTTCTGTCAATCAAGCAGAGTTTTATATAAAGATATATTTCCAAAGAACACAGCGAAAGAATCCGGGGATTAGTTTTACCCAGTTTAGTGTCAGAGGGGGCAACCGAAATCAAAAGGGATTTTATTGAAGAAAATGTTGTTCTTGGATCTTTCCCGGTGCTTTTTTACAGTGAGTTTTGCTCCGAGCGAGGCCAGCCGAGCTCCGTCTCGTCCACACCGGCCCAGCTCATGTTGATCCTCGTGTCAATCAAGGCGTATTTTAATCAAAATATGATCCAAAACCCACACGAGAAACTTGGGAATTAAGTTCACAAAAGTTTGTGTGATTTTCTTTTTACTGTTTGACAAAAAAAAAATTCAATATTTATTTCCCCCCCCACCACCCCCCCCCACTTCTATCCAAGGGAATTTTTAGTTGGGAGAGACAGACAGAGAGAGGGAGGGAGGAACGGGGGGGAGGGGGTTATATACAATTAGTAACCCGTTTCATTTTATACCGACCTGTCTGCTCCCTCCGCTCAGCAGACTCCGGCCTCCAGCCTCTGCCCCCACCTTTAGGAACTGCATCCCACAATCCCTTCCTCTCGCCCCCTCCCTCGCCTCCTTCAAGGCCCGTCTCAAGATCCTCCTCTTCGACTGCGCCTTCGGTCGCCCTCCTACCCCCAACCCTCCCCGTCGTCCACCCCCTCCTGATCCCAACCCCCAGATCGGGTCCAAATCCCCGACTGTCCAGCGCCTCGGGACGTCCTCTTGACGTGAAAGTCAGGCTCTGTGCAAATGTCATGTGTTGTTGTTGTGGGGAGTGACTATGGAAAGATGATGATCTTGAATTGATCTCCGGGGGATGGAGGGCGGGGGATCAGGGGTCGAGAGAGCAACACCAAATTGCGCGCAGCAGTTTAATAATAACCCTTGCATTTCAAATAGCGCCTTATCACTGCCATCGGGCTTCACGGTAAGGTGGAGTGACTGTGGATTTTGCGGGCGAATCGCGGCTGCCAATGTGCGCGCAGCAGTGTCCCTCCGACAGCCACGGAGTCAGTAACAGACTGTATTCGGGGGATTGTTCATCAGGACAAACTCCCCTTTTCAAATAGAGCCACAGGATCTTTAACGTCCACCAGGCAGACGGGGGCTCGGTTTAACATCTCACCCAAAGGACGTCACCTCAAAAATGCAGCCCCCCCCACCCCGCCCACCCCCCAGCACTGCGTTGGATCGTCAGCTTAGACTACGTGGTTCCAAGTCCCTCTCTATGGGCTGCGGTTGCACAGACACCGGTTGCCCTCCAATGACTCTGGCCAAGAGGCACATCTTGATGTGTGAGCCTTGGCAGTGAGTGAGTGTCGGGAGCCACTCGACCAGAAGGCATCACAGTGTGACCTCTAATGGCTCGCACCAACACACACACACTCATACACAATTAAGTGGAGGGACCAGGAGCAGGAACCCTGGCTGGTTTCCCCCTCCCTAACCCTGGGAAGGCTGGGGGCAATTTAGCCTCCCCGTGTAGCCAGTTAAGACCAACAGACTCAGCCCAGACTGGGGTTCAAACCAGTGAACTCCCGTCCTATAAACTACAGCAACGCCCCACTACACCACTGTGGGCTGCCACCCTGCCCACCCCCCCTCCCCACCCATCTCCGTACACACAGAGCCCACAAAATGAGGACTTACGCCGGTGAACAAGGAAAAATGACTGCAGCATGGTGCTGCTCCACTTACATTTATTTGATGGTTTTGTGTGTGTGTGTGTGTGTGTGTGGTGGGGGGTTGTGTGTGGTTGGGATGAGGGGATGTTAAAAATCTGCCAAGATTTACAATGAGAAACAAAAAAAAGCGTGGCTCTCTGTCCACTAAACACCTCGATTTTCTTTTGTTCCTCACCCCACCCCCCGCCCCCCACCACCTCCACCACCCCCGCGATGGGTGTTCGAGAGCGAGAGGAGTCTGAGAGTGAGGAAGTCCGAGGGTTGAGGAACGAGCCTCTCCTTGTCCTAACGGCTGCTCAAATGGCACAAAACGGCAACAGCTCTTTGCTGAGAGTTCCAGACATCACCGGATGGTTCTTACGGAGGTAATGGTGTGGGTGCTTAGTTGACTGTTAGTCAGGATGATTTTGGGATGGAGCTGTGGCAGGGTGTTCCACCCTCTGCCCACTTGCGGTTCTGTGTTCATCACTGATGTCTTGGCATGGCTGACATGTCTGAAAAAATTAAATCGAAAAACAATACAAAAAATTCATAATTTTTCTTTTAAAAAAAAGTCTTCGCAGGAAGCTAATTGGTCGCCAGGGGAGGGGGGGGGGAATGCTTTTGTTGTGGGCAATGAATCATCTGCAAAATACAATGATTAGAGACTCATGGGTGTTTGCAATAACCCAGGTAAACTTCATAGCACATTCAGTGAGATAATCTGTCCTTAAATATTGTCACAAAACCAGTGGCCTCTTTAACTGCGCTTTTGGTCATCTTTCACCCATTCCGCCACCCACAGCTCAGGTGCCCAGTCAGTACTGTTCAACCTCTTGGGACGTCCTCCCACTGTGAATGGCACGGGATAAACCAGCTTCCTATTTTTACTTGATGAAATCCTCTCCCCACTGGATTTCTCTCCTCTAACCCCATTCCCTGCTCTCTCTCTCTCTCTCCCCCCCCCATGGTGTCTGTGCTGGGGCTCGCTCCCCACTGGAGCTCTCTACTCTAACCCCATTCCCTGTTCTCTCTCTCTCTCCCCATCGAGTCTGTGCTGGGGCTCGCTCCCCCACTGGAGCTCTCTACTCTAACCCCATTCCCTGTTCTCTCTCTCTCTCCCCATCGTGTCTGTGCTGGGGATCGCTCCCCCACTGGAACTCTCTAGTCTAATACCAATTTAGCAAAAGTGTGTGAGTCACACAGCGTGTTCACGTGTCAATCTTTACCCGCGTATTGGAGGCAAAAGAATGACCCGTGGTCGGGCGGTGAGGACCACCTCTCCCCGGTTCGCTTCGATGATGATGTTCCTCAAGGTGTTTTCCAAGATCATCTCCATGACGTCACAGAAGCCGGACTGTCTGTAAACACGAGCGGTGGCACAAAACAGACCTGAGGTAAAGGAGCGAGGAATCTGGCCAGGTCCCTATCTGGGAGGTCCTCCCTTCTCCTCTAATGTCAGAGGATTATTAACCAATAATAATAATAATAATCCTTGCATTTGATATAGCTCCTCATCACGTCATTGAGGCGTCTAAAGCGCTTCACAGGAAAGTGTAGTGACTGTGTATTTTGTGGGTGAAACGCAGCAGCCAATTGCGCACAGCAGTGTCCCACAAACAGTCGTGGATTGAGTGACTAAATATTATTAATTATTATTTTTCTCAAGAGATTATTACCTCTGGAAAGCAATCCGCCAATCGACTTAACTACTGGGCTCCTACTTACTGCCAGGTCAACAGGTGTGTGTGTGTGGAGTGAAGAAACTTGCCTAAAGTTTTGCTCTGCCCGTTAATCAAACCCAGTTTTTCTAGCTTGTGAGGCGAGTGCTCTACAACAGCAACAACCTGCACTTATATAGCGCCCTCCACGCAGGGTAGCGTCTCAGAGCGCTTGAGGCCATCTCTCTAACCACTACACTACAGGACGCCGCAATATATCTCGCTGCTCGCGCTTGCTCTGCGTCTGTCCTTGTTACCTTTTGAGCTGGTGCCTCTGTGCGATCCTCTCCTCAAACTGGATGCTGAGCATGACCGCCCGCTCCTCCTTCCTCCGCGCCTCCTCCTCACTGATGGCTAAGGCCTCCCTCACTCCCTCTTCAGTGTCTTCCGGCGGCTGGACCAGAATGGGGATGGCAACCTCGGGCACTGACTCGTCCGCCACCTCCTGGAGCTGGTCTACAGTCACTTGGTTAGTGCCCGAGGCCACCCGGCTAGTGGGCTGTGAGACTGGATGGAACGGGCTGGTGCTTCTGGGGCTGATGGGCACGGACAGCAGGTCTGACGGTACGTCTTGTAGTGGATGTAAGGTCACTGGGCTCGGGGGCCCTGGGCTTGACAACAACAGATCTGAGGGATGTGGGGTTAATGTTTCAGGGCCAGCCAGGCCTTGACTTGGTCCTGGATTCATGGTTTCTGGGCCAGTGGTAGCTGTGTTCGATACTTCCTGTCTAATGGGAACTATGGGGTTAAATATTGCCTGGCCTGTGTGAGAGGAAGATGTTATTGCTGGGCCTGTCGAGACTGGGATGTTTATTCCCACGCCAGATATTACTGAGCTTGTGATCTCTGGGGCACTGAACACTTGGCCTGTGGGCAATCGGCTGACGGGTAACAGACCAGCTGGGACCAAGCCCGTGAGCACCTGGGGCAAAATCCTGGGGAAGAACCCTGTGGGTGTCATGTCTGACAGCAGCAGGCCTGTGGGTATCATTTCAAAGGGGTCCTCCTCAGGCAGAGAGGTCAACAATTGTTCAACAGGGGTCTGTGGCTCGAAGGCGGATTCAGAATCTGGCTGAAGCCTCTCTGTGGATACAAGCTCAGCGGGGGGCTGGGCTGGGGGCGCTTGGGATTGGGTGGAAGACAACAAGCCCGAGGCCTCTCTGTTCAGGGCAAGGGATGATGGGTCAACAGGTATTTGGGTGAAGCCTGGGATTATGGACTCTTTGGGTGTCCGAGCTAAGCCTGCCTGGGTCAGGGTGGCAGGGCCAGGCTGGTCTGCCCGCTTCTCAAGTTCCTCGTCTTGCCTCGCGGCCAATTCCTCAGCTTCCTGGCTCCACAGCTGTGTGAAATAGGGAATGGGACCCTCCATGCACTCGGAAACGGCCAACTGAAACTGTTCGTCGTTCAATAGACACCTGGAGAGCGATAAACACACAAGCCGCAAAAATAACATTGACAATTCGACTCTTCATTCTGCCCTGAGTGTATTCATGCTCTTGTTCATGTGAGACCTCAGTTTAATGTGTCATCTGAAGGACAGCACCTCTGACAATAATAATAATCCTTGCATTTGAAACAGCACCTTATCACGTCGAAGAGTACTTCACAAGAGTGACTGTAAAGTGAATTGATTGTATATTTTGTGGGCAAAACCCGGCAGCCAATTGCACACAGCAGCGTCCCACAAACAGTTGTGGATTGAGTGACCAAATCATTCTATGTTTTTTTGAGGGGATTATTACCCCCGGAAAGCGATCCACCAATCGACTAACAACCAGGATCCTACTTATTGCTAGGTAAACAGGTGTGTGGAGTAAGGAAACTTGCCTAAGTTTTCGCCCTGCCCGGGAATCAAACCTGGGTCCTCTCGCTTGCGAGGCGAGTGCTCTAACCACTGAGCTACAGCCTCCACTAACCAGAGGAGAGCGAGTTGCCGGACTGAGCCGTGATGACACATTGATGTTAATGATCACAGCACACGATGCATTTCCAACCTCACAGCACTCTTGGCTGTGAACGGCTCATTCGTATCCCTTCAGCAACAACTGTCCCCACAGTTACCTCAACACTGTCATCAGGATGTCCGTCACCATCCTGACTTGTGGCACCGATGCGTTCAGGAGCTGTTGTCCTGGGGGGACCATGTTAGCCCTGTTGCACGGTCCTCTTGTATCACCACTTTGTGTCATACTTGATAGCGGTTTCGATATGAAGCTCCTGTTGATCAAAAGCAGTATAGAAAATCACATAAAAAATATAAATAATAAAAATAATAATTTGGTGAGTCAGTCCACAACTGTTTGTGGGGGACGCTGCTGTGCACAATTGGCTGCCGCGTGTCACCCACAAAATACACAAGTCAATTCACTTTACGATATATTGTGTGAAGCGCTTTGAGACAGTTTGAAGACGTGATAAGCCGCTGTATGAAATGTAAGTATTATTATTATTGAATAGTAACTCCCTCTATCCCTCCGTCTTGCCCCCTCCTTTCCCATTTTCATGTTGCACCTGAAGACCTTCCTCTTTGACTGTGCCTACAGTCACCTCCCCTGTCCCCTAGCTTGGCATCGCACTCTACCACTGTCAAGCGCTCTGGGACGCTACCCTGCGTGAGGGGCGCTGTGTAAATACACATTGTTCTTGTTGTTGTGAAGCTGCCAGTCAGTGAAACACCACGACTTCCAGCACTTCCATTTCCCAGATGAGCTGAGCCAAGCTGTACAGCACCACCACCATCTGGCTACGTACGTGCTCTCCTACCTCATGATGTAGTGTTTGGGAAGATCGGAAGAGAAGTTGTCTTGGAATTCCTTCAGGGAGTGTGACCTGGCTGTCACCCCCAGGTGGAGCACGAAGGGTTTTGGAGGCCGAGGTCTAAGCCACTGTTTGGGGCGCGGTTTCTTGATCTGCTGGCCAACCCACGTGTCCTGGTGGTTCTTGATCGGAGGAAGCGTCTTTGTTGAGGGAGAGAGAGAGAGAGAGATCAGTGTTCACTTGTTTGCTCCCTGTTGCAAAAGGGCGCTGTATAAATGTGAGTAGTTGTTAGGGTGAAATCTTTTGAGATTTCATAATAAATTTCACGACACAATATGAAACATTGCAAACTTCACCCCTGTCTTATTAATAATAATAATATTAATAGTCCTTGCATTTAATATAGCGCCTTATCACATCTTCAAGACGTCTCAAAGTGCTTCACAGGATACACTGTACATTTTGCGCACAAAAATCTTACTGATCCTTTGGACAGTAATTGCTTTGCTCTCTGGTTTACCGCTCAAATGCCCATTTACACTCAGCTTCTCTCAAACTTACTGCAGTCCTCATTTCTCACCTTGTACTTCTTAACTTTGGTGTCAGGGGATCTGTGTTTGCTCTCAGTGCACGACCCCATGGAATCCTTTTCAAAGAGAAAAGAAGGAAGCTCAGATGGTTATACTTGGAATAGGCTGAACAAGGTTTTAGCTTTGCTCTATTGATAGTGACTATAATAATAATAATACTATTCCTTGCATTTGATACAGCACCTCATCACATCATTGAGTCGTCTCAAAGCGCTTCACAGAATATACTGTAAAGTATAGTGACTGTGTATTTGGTGAGTGAGACACGGCAGACAATTGTGCACAGCAGCGCTCCACAAATAGTCTTGGATTGAATATAAATTATAATATATTTTTTGAGGAATTATTACCCCCTGCATAGCGATCCGCCAATCGACTAACAACTGGGTACCTATTTACTGCTAGGTAAAGAGAGGCGTGTGAAGTAAGGAAACTTGCCTAAGGTTTCGCCTTGCCCGGGAATCGAACCCGGGTCCTCTCTCTTGCGAGGCAAGCGCTCTAACCACTGAGCTACAGGACTCCACTGTAACTGCACTCACCTGTTTGAGGGATGTGAGTTGCTGATCTCCTTGCAAGTCCTTCTCAGTGATGGTGAATTCAACCTGCTGCAGCTCCTTCTCCTTCTCCCAGGCATTGAGCTCCTGGTGGTACGTTTCCATCTGACGCTTTGAGAAAACCTGCCCGAGATGGTGGAGGGGCGTAAAGAGGTGCCAATCAATGGAATCATTCAGATTTATCTCACACTGTGTGGGAACGTCTGAGAGCTCTGTAATGAGGCACCCAATATCTATAATAATCCTTGCATGTCAATATAGCGCCTTATCACATGGTTTGAGACGTCTCAAAGCGCTTCACAGAATATATTCTAAAACGTAGTGACTGTCTATTTTTGTGGTCGAAACATGGCAGTCAATTGCGCGCAGCAGCGTCCCACAAACAGTCACGGATTGAGTGACAAAATTATTATTTTTTTAGGGGATCAAAACAAAACTCAGTTTAAGATCTCATCTGGAGGACATCAGCTGCAACAAGGCAGCGCTCCCTCCAGCACTCCATTGGAGTGTCATCCTGGACTGTGACCTCAAGTCGGGATATGGGGACTTAAACTGACAACCTTTTTTGACTCAGAGGCGAGAGTGCCACCAACCAAGCCAGGCTGACACGTTTGGGTGAAGCCTTTTGGAGAGAGAACTGGTGAGTGAAAACAAACTGGGATGGATAACTGGCAAGGAGACAGAGAGAGGGTTACCTCACAGGTCAGATCCAGGTCATAAAAGCAAGCCTTTACGTGTGAGCTCAGGACAACCACGGAGTACGTACTGCCTCCAGGAGGGAGCACTCCCGAAACCGGAATGATGCTCACCACCTGGAGGTAGAACAACAACGGGTCAACCAGATACTGTATAGCACATTGCATTCCCTATCTGAAAAGTACTTCCCTATTCCAGCAGAGGAGGATTCCCTATTTCCCAGTGAGCAAAACTTCCAGCAAGTACTACTCTACGGTCCTCCAAAATTGAGATGAACTAATAACAACAACAATAATAATACTTGCGTTTGATATAGCGCCTTCGAGAGGGGTCTCAAAGCGCTTCACAGAATATACTGCAAAGTGAATTGACTGTATTTTGAGGGCAAAACATGGCAGCCAATTGCTTGCGCACAGCAGTCCTGGATTGAGTGAACAAATTATTATATTTTTTTAATTTATTTTGCTTTTTTTTTGAAGGGATTGTTACCACCAATCATCGAAAAACTGGGTGTCTACTTACTGCGAGGTAAACAGAGGCATGTGGAGCAAGGAAACTTGACGAAGGTTTTGTGCCGCCCGAGAATTAAAACCAGGTTGTCTCACCTGCGAGACGAGTGTTCTAACCACTGAGCTACAGGACTCCACAGAAGTCAGGACATCTGTTGAGAGCACTTCAGAATCCCCATTTGCAGTTTGGCCCCTTTATTAAGGAATCCCATTGGAAATCCCCAATGAGACCCCCCCAATGAAATGGGCTATATTCAAGCACGCGTGTAATTTGCCCCTCCAATGACTTGCTCTTTTCCGCCCTGGGGCCTGGAGAGGTGCTCACCTCAGACACGTGAGCTGAAGTGAAGTGCCAGGTGTACCTAATGGTCTCCACTTCCGAGATGTTGTACAGGAAGATCATCTGCCTGGACTTGCTGAACACGGGCACGTTCCCAAACGTAATCCTCTCCTCGGACATGAACAGAAGCTGTCAAACAAAACGCCAGTGACTGAGGGTAGACCAAAGTTAAACCAAATGGTAGATGTCTAAGAGGTAGGATGTTAGAAGGGTTTTGAAACCAGAGAGGGAGGGTGAAAGGCGGTTGCAGTTTGGGGAGAGAGAGTCCAGAGAACATCACAATGATCGCTAGTGTTAGCTCCTTGTTGTCTGGCAAGGTGATTTAAGCACCTTGGGACCTCCTCCCGATGTGAAAGGTACTATAGTGTTTGAATGTACTATAATGTAATTTGTATTGTGTACTGAGGGAAGAGTACGCTGGTAAAACATGCTATTGGGAGGGGAAGCGGGAAGGGTAATGGTGCATCTCTTGGGGGCCGAGCTAGATTGTGTGGGATCAGGAGAACTTGAGACAAGAGACAACTGTTGTACAATTTTGTGGCGTAATCCCTCCCTTACCTGCCCTAGTACTAGAGCCTGCTGTATGGCGGGGGCACCAAAGTATGACGAAGGATTGTTGAAAGATGCACAGGCCCCCAGAACACGCTTGTCATATCCAATTCCGGTGAAGGTCACCAACGCGGAGTCACCTCCAATGATCTGGATGGGAACAACTACCTGTGTGGAGGACAGGAGATGGAAAGTCATCAGATTGAAGGCATAATGAGCTGTAAATCAGGCTGGTTCAAGGAACTCAAGGAGGGATCAAAGGTGGACAAACATTGAATGATAGATAATAATAATAATAATCCTCGCATTTGCTATAGCGCCTTATCACGTCTTCGAGACATCTCAAAGCGCTTCACAGAATAGACTTTAAAGTGAATTGACTGTGTATTTTGTGGACGAAATGCAGCAGCCAATTGCGCACAACAGTGTCCCACAAACAGTCGTGGATTGAGTGACTAAATTATATTTTTTTAAGGGATTATTACATCTAGAAAAGCAATCCACCAGCAGCCTGAAAACAAGGTTCCTACTTATTGTTTGCCTATGGTTTTGCCCTAGCTTGCGAAGCGTGTGCTCTAACCACTACGCCTACAGGACTCCACTGTCTGTTCAATGTGTTCAAAAGAAAGCTGACATTCACAGTATGAGTATAGCACAGAAGTGCTTGGGTATCTGGTAGCTACGTACCGAGTAGCTCTCAGCCTCGAGGGGTGAGAACACCCACTCGGTGTAAGCGGTCTTTCCCGGGAGGATCTCTCCGCGTGGGTTCAGGCACTGGAAGATGGCGTGATCATAATTCTCCTCCTGAATCGTTTTCAAGCAGTCGGTCTGGATCTCATAATGTACATTCACGGACCCGCCGTTGAACAATGTGTAAACCTGGGTTGAGCGAGAGAGACATGAACTGCCGGTGTTTAATAATAATAATCCTCGCATTTGATACAGCGCCTTATCACGTCATTGAGACGTCTCAAAGCGCTTCACAGGATATATTGTAAAGTTGCATGACTGTGTATTTTGTGGGCAAAACACGGCAGCCAATCACGCACACCAGTGTCCTACAAACAGTCATGGATTCAGTGACCAAACTTATTTTTTTAAGGGATTATTATCCCCAGAAAGTGATTTGCCAATCAACTATCAACCGGGTTCCTACTTACTGTGAGGTGAACAGAGGCGTTTGGGTGTGTGTGCGTGTGGAGTAAGGAGACTTGCCTAAGGTTTCGCCCCGCCCGGGAATCAAACCCAGGTCCTCTCCCTTGCGAGGTGAGCATGCTAACCACTACGCCACAGGACTCCACGTGTCTTGCAGATACTGTGCGGACAGGTTGGGTGTGAGGGTTGAACTCACCTGCTTAGGTGGACTGTCGATACCAATGCAAATAGGTGCGAAGGTGTGCTCAGTTGAAATGAAGTGAACATAAGGTTGATCCTTGGGAACTGTCACACCGATGAAATTTAACTAAAAGGGCAAACGATGTAAAACCATTTCAAAGGAAGGCTGATTAAATATAAATGATTTTATACACGGTCGGCCATCAAGTGAATTGACTATATCATTTGTGGGAGAAACACGCAGCCAATTGCACGAAGCGGTGTCCCACAAAACATTTGCAATATGAGAAGAATGCTCTTCTATCTGAACATGACTTTCCCTCCACCTCACTCTAATTCAGAGCTGATTTTAATCCTGCATGAGAGAAATGACACCCTCCTTCCCACTCGCATCTGACCCCCCTTGCACCTCCCCCGCCCCACGTCTACCCCTACTGCTCCCCAGTAATGACCTTACCAGGATTTCCCGTCCATGAGAGAGTTTCAGTACAACAGGGATGCGGTCAGTACCTGAGAATTCATGCCTGAAACACACAATAATAATAATATAATCCTTGCAGTTGATATAGCACTGGGAGGATATCTTCTATACTGTGAAGTGCTTTGAGATATCTTCGCAAGCGAGACACCCAGGTTCAATTACCAGCCGAGGCAAAACCTTAGGCAAGTTTCCTTACCCCACATGCCCGTTTACCCAGCAACAACTTTTGTTGTTAGTCAAATGGCGGATTGCTTTCCAGGGGTAATAATCCCTAAAAAAATGTGGTCACTCAATCGACTATTGTTTGTGAGACGCTGCCGTGCGCAATTGTCTACCGCGTTTCACCCAAGAAATACACAGTCTGTTCACTTTAAAATACATTCTGTGAAGCACTTTGAGGCACCTCAACAAAGTGAGAAGGCGCGATATCAAATGCGATGATTATTATTACCATAAAGTATAGTGACATGTGTTTCGTAGGCGAATGCGGCAGCCATTTTTTTGTGCACAGCAACGTCCCGCAAAGAGTGAGTGACCGATCTTATTGTTAGTCAGAACCTGGGAGAAAGGCATCCTTCTCTTTTTCAATCTCATTGAACAGACAGAACCGGAGCCTTAGATCAATATCTCATCCGAAGCAAACGCTCACACAATACCCCTCCCTGGAATGCTGGGCCTCTGATGGTTTTACCTGTAGGTGAATTGAATGGTTTCCCGTTGCCCGGGAAGGAGCACTCCGGATTTTGGCTTCACGTCAAAGAGTTTATTGTCTTGGATTCGCATCTCGTGGAGTTCGTTGGGATCAAACTCCCCGGATTCTGCCCAATATTCCAGGTCTAAGTTCTGGTCCAACGGAAACAGGAAAGCCCTACAAATAGGACGATCACAGGGACAGTTACTGCGATTGACAATTTGACTGGATTTGCATAAACACATTAAAAACACACTGCCATGTTCTCTCTTGGCTGTCAGCTTTCTCGCTTGTAGAGCAGATCTCTTGCCAACCTGCGCCTAATACCTTCCGGAATAAGGTAAGAGGGATAAGTCCCTCCAGGGCGAGCGAATGTGCAATGCATAGGTGGGATGGATGGAATTCTCAGCTGGGTTTGGAGACTCTTAAGCACAGTGAAGGCTTTAAACGTGTGTCAGACACCCGGCTGGGCAAAAAAAAGCGATCTCTCCTCAACCTTTCTACTAATGCCACTCTCTCCACCAGAAAATCGTCACGTGCGGTGACTGCGTTTCGCTGTATAAAGTAAATTTGTTGTTTTAGGCACACACTTTGCGAAAAGTTGGGGCCGTGTGTGGGTTGGGACATCGCTGTGCGCAAAGGTGGCATTCCAAAATGGCTTCCCGCTGGCAACTATCATAAGGAACACGATCAGAAGAGCCGCAAATTTCACCCCTGCATCACATTTTTACCAGCTTTCGGTGGCGCAGATCCCACCAACCGACCCCCACCTCCAATGGGCCACACGTACCAGTCCACCTGCAGCACTCCCTTGTTCTCGATCATCAGCAAGATGACGGACGGCTGTGAGCAGGCGGGAGCTGCTCCAAAGTTGAAGTCCAGCATTAGTGGAGTGAGCACTGAGGGGCATCGGTGCAGGCTGCAGACATGTACAGAGAAAGACAGCACCAGTTCAGTAATAATAATAATCCTTGCATTTGATATCACGTTGTCGAAACGTCTCAAAGCGCTGTACCGCTGTAAAGTTTATTGACTGTGTATTTTGTGGGCGAAACGTGGCAGCCAATTGTGCACAGCAGCGTCCCACAAACAGTCGTGGATTGAGTGACCAATTTTTTTTGAAGGAATTATAACCCCAGGAACACAACCCGCTAATCAACTAATAACCGGGTTCCTACTTACTGCTGGTAAACAGAAGCTCTAACCACTGAGCTACAAGCCTCCACATCCACAAAGCAAGTGAAACGGCAGATGGAAAGCAGGTTGGAGAAGATTAGTAAGAGAAAACCATTAGGCCCATCAAGTCTGCTCTGCCACAGACTATTTCATGGGTCATGTTCCTAAACCTCCCCGTCCCCCCATATCCCTCAATATGTTTACTCCCAACATATCCAAAAATAATAATGATAATCCATCTGTTTGATACTGTGCTTCTCACGAAGAGAGAATGTCTCAAAACGCTTCTGTTTTGAATCTTGTTATTTTGTTATTTGTATCTCGCTCATCCCATTATGAAACTGCACTCTAATATTCGTACTTAGTGCAAAAGAGTTTGGCTGTGTCCAGTGGTTGGTTGTGCAAAGTCCTTGATCGTAGCACAAGCTGAGAAGGGCGACTAATTGATCACAGTATTCAGGGTTAGATTACCTGAACTCTGCCTGCTATCAATCCCTCTCATTTCAATCATTTTTTTATGTAAATTATCTCGGGAGTTGAATTTGAAATTCCTTCAATAAAATAATTAACCTTAGACATAAATCTTAATCAATTTTCCTAATGAACCAATTTTCATAGTAAATATCATTCAAATACGGAGAGTGTTTTATGGCCTTAAATGCACTCAAAGCTATTTTTTATCATTGTAATATATACAGTGAATATCTATCTCCCTCTCTCTGCCATTGAAATTCCTGTCACCCACTGCCAATGCCAGCTTGTCATTACCCTTGCCAACAATTAAATTTATGGTCGCTATGCTGCACTGTGGCACATGACAGGAATGGTTTATATTATATTGTTTAAAACAGCTTTATGATGGGAGAACCAGTTTAGAATTTGGAGTCCTGTATTTTAGTGGTTACGGCACTCGCCTCGCAAGCGAGAGGAACCGAGTTCCCAGGAGGGGCGAAACCTTGGCCAAGTTTCCTTACTTCCCAAGCCTCTGTTTACCTAGCAGTAGGATCTCGGTTGTTGATTGGCGGATTCCCCCCCAAAAAAAATGTGTTCACTCAATCCACGATTGTTTGCGAGACACCGCAGTGCACAACTGGCTGTCACGTTTTGTCCACAAAATACGCAGTCAATTCGCTTTACAGAATTTTTGTGAAGTGCTTCGGAACATCTCAACAATGTGATAAGGCGCTATATCAAATGCCAGGTAAACAGAGGTAAGGGGGTGGGGGATGGGGAGTGTGTGTAGTAAGGAAACCGGCCTAACGTTTCGCCCTGCCCGGGAATCGAACCCAAGTCCTCTCGCTCGTGAGGTGAGTGTGCTAACCACTATGCTATGGGACTCCACAGAGATGTACAGTACAGAACTGACTGACCTGTGCCTTGTGGGCACCCGGTAGATGAGCTCGTTCTCAGTGGGGTCTTGATCCAGGTACTTGTTCAGCCTGTCCAGGGAGAAGAGCAGCCAGAGCTGCTGCTTGCTCATACCACTGATGCTCCCCAAGCAGCGAGCGTCCAGGACACAGATAGTGGGGTACACACCCTCCGCCTTCACTACACACGCAGGCATCTCCTTCATCTCGCTCCCCGCCTCCTTCACCTCCGGATCCTCCTCCAGCAGCTTCTCCTCACTGGGGCTCAGGACTGCAAGAGTTATGCAAACCCACAGGGGTTACACCTCTGATACAACACAGGATGTACCACAGCTCCGCTCATCAACTGTCTTCACAAAGGTCCCAACACCAGCACCCAAAATAATTATAATAATAATCCTTGCATTTGATACAGCAACGTATCACGTCGTTGAGACGTCTCAAAACGCTTCACAGAATATATTGTAAAGTGTAGTGACTGTATTTTGTGGGCGAAATGTGGCAGCCAATCACGCACACCAGTGTCCTACAAACAGTCATGGATTGAGTCACCAACATTTTTAATTTATTTAGGCTTGTTTTGTTTTGAAGGGATTATTACCCTCGGAAAAACAACCGGGTTCCTACTCACTGCTGGGTAAGCAGAGGCGTGTGGAGTTCTCTTTGACCGTGCCTTCAGCTCCCCTCTCGACTCTCTTCCCCCTCCTCGCTCCCTCCCTTCCCTCCCCTCACCCTGACCATTTCCCCCTCCTTGCTCCCTCCCTTCCCTCACCCTGACCATTTCCCCCCTCCTCGCTCCCTCCCTTCCCTCCCCTCACCCTGACCATTTCCCCCCTGCTCGGGTCATGACCCAACTGTGCAGCGCCTTGGGACGTCCTCCTGACGTGAAAGGCGCTTTATAAATGGAATCTTGTTGTTGTTGTTGTTGTAAGGAAACTTGCCTAAAGTTTTGCCCTGCCTGGGAATTGAACCAGGTCCTCTCGCCTGCTATAGGACTCCATAAATGAAGAAAAATTCAAAAAAGAAAAATGTAATTGGTTGGCCGACCATTAAAGTTGGCCACCACTGCTTTTAGCCTCTACATACGGTACAGTCCAGACATCTCCACAATCACCTTTGTTTGTGACAATTTTGCAGCTGATTTCCCAGGTGTAGTGAAGCCTCCGTAATGTCCAGGCTGTGAACCCGATGATCAGCTTTGACCTTGCTGGGATCGTCCCTTGGGAATACTCCAGATCAAACGCTGAGCAGACATAAAGTTATATCAAACTGGGGGTGGTACAATATCATAAATAATGACCATAATAATCCTTAGCTTTCAAACCGCTATGCCAATGTTGAGTCAACATAACAATTCATCATAATAATAATCCTTCAATTTGATATAGCGCCTTTCATGTTGGGAGGATTCCCAGGATTTTACTGTAAAGTGTAGCGACTGTGTGTTCTGTAGAGGGTGGATCGAGAGGAACCAGGGTGGATGAATTGCCTCATATAACACCCACCCACCCCATGATTTTATTACTAAATTTCATTACACCTTTTCCAAAGCTACCTTAGGCTCATTGAGGGCAGAGAATCCTCCCACTCAGCTCCTGTTAACCTGCAATCAACGGGAAGGTTGGTCCTAGCTGAACAAGCAGCGGGAAAGCTTGCTAGACAGTGATATCAATGGCCAAGCTGTGTGGGTTTAGCTGGTTAGACTCCAGCAGTTACCCCAACGCACACTCTGGGCTCCCTCCCCAGCCTTGGCTCTGGCACTCAGTGTCACGGCATGAATGGTGCGCAAACCTCGGCACTTACCTATGTCGTCTTTTTCCACCTCATCTGGATCACAAGGTCCGGTGATTTTCTGTGTGACACCAAGGGAGAATTTTAAGGAGCACTTGCCGTTATTCAGCAGTATCAGATCTCCCACCTTGGTGTCACCGACAAGCAGGTGTCCCAAGTCTATGTTTTCCTGATCAACCTGAAGGAGGTAAGATGGTGAACAAGGGGAACAACCAATTCTGTCACAAATTGCACCTCAGAACAAGCCATCGTATTGTCTACTTGTTGTTAAAAAGGAGGGAAGGAGGAAAGATCAAAAAAAAGAGAAAAACAAAGGAAATTCCTGCTATGTGAAGTGCCTGTGTAGTAGCGAGCAAATAAATGTGGCAACGTCACGCACACCGGCATACAGAAAATGAGCGGAATCTGGATGGTCAAACAGTCTGTTTAAAGACTTTCTGTCTGGGCTCTTGTACAAAGAATAGCTGCTCAGGTTAAATATCATGAGAATATCGACGCCCCTGGGAATAGATTCTTTATTCTCTATAATCAGGGTAGTTAATACAGTCAATTCACTTTACAGTGTGTTCTGTGAAGCGCTTTGGGATGTCATCCCGACGTGAAAAGCGCTATATCAAATGCAAGGATTATTATTATTATTATTATTAGTTCAACTGGCGGCCCGCGGGCCAAGTTCATTACCCCCCACCCCCATCACACCATTTCATCTGTCAATGGTTATGTTTCTGGAAGGGAAATACAAAAATATTGCTTATGTGTCCTCAGCAACCGACAGGTTGCTCCCCCACTGCTCTATATAATAACCTCTGGTTGAGGGAGGGAGAACATTGGAAGCAACAAAGGGAATTGTATGTAAGTCAGCGATGTGGCCATTTCCTTGGGCTGCCCTGGGTTACACAGGCACAGGTCTGCCCTCACCGTGATCTTGCCCTTTGCCCCCTCACCGATGACCCTGAGGGCTAGGTGTGTTTTCCTCCCGTGCTCCGTGTGGTGCAGGTTCTTCACTCCCCACGTGAAGACGTGCGGCTTCATGAAGTATCTCTGCTCCTCCTGGGGGTAAAACATCCAGTTCTGTGCCTGTGAACAGCAACAGCAACAACAGCAAAATCACATTTGTATAGCAGCCCATAGATCACAAGCACCAGTCAGTCACCGCGTAAATCCCTGCAAATCATCCAGCATGAACATGTGCGAGTGCTTCACCGAGATGGGGCTTGTGCGGAGCGAAGGAGGGCGATTTAGAGGGTGTTGTGTCAAGGTGAGAAAAGAAGAGATTTTGAGGATGGCTTCACATCTCGAGTTTCCTCACTGGGAAGGATGGAGGGAATGAGGAATGAGCAGGGTAGCAGAGTCAGGAGAACGGAGAGAACGTGCGGGAGGGCAGAGGTAAGGAGGGGCAAGATGGTAAAAGAGATTTGAAGGCTGGAGTGAGGTTTAAGCAGTCAATCTACTGGGGTATTGGGAGCCCGGCAGAGACCTTTTGAGTGAGAATGGGGGTGTGGAGCCTGATGAGTTTATGGGCTACAGAATTTTGGATGAGTTGGACATTGGGAGGCAGGGAAGAAGGAAATCTCAAGGGGATGGAAACATGGATGAGTGGTTTGGCTTTGTATTGGGGATAAGAACACAAGTCAGCCATTCAGCCCTTTGAGCCTGTTCCATCATGCTCCATTTGCAACTCTTTGATTCCATTCCCTCATTTCCCCCCCATTTCCCTGAATATCCCAAGTGCTTAACTTCCCATTGGGAGAGGATATGGACTCACCAATGATTCATTGGGCTGGATAATGCCAAAGGTAGGAGCGACAGACAGGAAGTGGGAGTCTCTGGCCTGGATCTCCCACTGGAAGTACAGGGGTATTTCTGTCACATTCTTAATGATGTAGGACCTCCCTGACACCGTGCCCACACACGTGGGCTTGAAGTACAGGTAGGCATCTCCGTCCAGCTTCAACAGTGGCCTCTCCACACTGTACATCAAGTGCAGCTTCTGAGAGACACAGGAAATATCTGGGGTCAACAACAATAACAACAACTTGCATTTCTATAGCTCCCCTCACGCAGGGTAGTGCCCCAGAGCGATTGAGGTTAGGCATTGTTGAAGAGGAATATCTCCAGATGCAATCTGAAAAGGCCAAGGCGGAGGGATAGAGTTTTCCAGAGTTTCAGGGCGCAGTGGCTGAAGCCGCGGCCATCCATGGTGGAACGGAGGGCACGAGGGACAAGCAGGAGGCCAGAGCCAGTCGAGGTGAGGCAATAGGTAGTGGATTGGAGGTAAGCAGGTCAGATAGGTAGGGAGGTGCCAGGGCATAAAGGGATTTGAAGATGAATGTGAGGATCTTGAGATTGTTGGGTTGATAGAGTGCCAGTGAACTATATTACTTTTCATTATGCCCTCTGGACAAACAACCTTACAACTAAGTCTAAATTATTGGAACACTCTCTCCCGATGTCCTAGCCAACAATCCCCCAAATAAAATTGATCATTCATTTCACTAAGATATCACGGGGGTGTGAGTTTATGAGCACAGCCAGCAGTTATAAGCCGACTGCTCTATATAACCCGACAGAAAACTTCTGATGCCTGAAATTTCAGCAAGTGTCAGCCTGTGAGAGCATTTACCCTTATAATATAATCTAATTAAGAATTGTCCACAATTCTGCTCTCCGTCTTTATCTGCAGTGTGCCACGCTTGCCACCAGGCGCCGCTACTGTGTTACTGCAACTCCCAGTGTGGGAGACCAGTTGGAACAGCAGAAGGTTCCTGGCTGACAAGAACAGAAACTGCACTTGATCTTAGCTAAAAGGCCGAGAAGTGATCGAATGGTTAATGCACAATGCCAAGCCGTCTCCTGAGAGCCACTTGCTCCAAGGCCGAGCCCTCTAGGCTGAGGGGTACCTACCTGTCTGTACATCACCAACATGTTCAGCTCCAGCAGCACTGTGTGTTTGCACAGCTTCTCCTCCTTGGGCATTGCTCTGAACGTGAAGATCTGATGGGCTTTGGGGAGCACGAAGCCCATGGTTGGTTTCACAGTGATGATGGGGCTGTTCTGGATGTCCAGGCTGAAGGGGATGATCAAGTCCCCCATGTTCCTGAACACTACCGTCCTGTATGCCGTCCCCGTCTCGTACACAGGAGGAAAGACCTACCAGAGCAATATTCCACAGAGTCAAACATCCTAAAGTCATTGGAAACCTAACAGCAAGAGTAGTGCAACAGAGCATGAGAGCCCTCTATAGAAGACTAAACTCTAGTGTGGTTAGAGCACTCGCCTCACAAGTGACTCCCAGGCAGGGCAGAACGTTGGGCAAGTTTCCTTATCCCACACGCTTCTGTTTACCTAGCAGTAATAGGAACCCAGTTGTTAGTCGATTGGTGGATTGCTTTTCCGGGGGTGATAATCCACCCCCCACCACCCCATTGTGGTCACTCAATCAACCACTGTTTGTGGGACGCTGCTGTTGGAATTCAATGTACATTTCGCCCACAAAATGCACAGTCACCCCACTTTATAGTATATTCTGTGAAGCGCTTTGGGAGGTCTCAACGACCTGATAAGACGGTAAACTTCCCCCACCCCCCCCCACCCTGGATGCAAATCCCTGACTGTTCAGCGCCTCCTGACATGAAAGACGCTGTGTAAACGTCATTTTGTATTTTGTATTGTATATCGAATGCCAGTGTAGACAGTGTATATGACAGAGCAGAACATGGAGGTTTCAGTGCTGGCGCTCAGGGTCGGCCCCACACAGAACGCTGACCAACCTGTGACTGTCTCGCTCGCTCACCGTTTCAGGAGAGTCGATGGTGTACTTGGGAATAAAATGATTGTAGCCGACCTTGAACGTGTGTCCCTGCACCCTCATAGTGATACACCACGGTGGGCAGAAAGTGTTGTCATCAACCATACGGTGGTCACGCATCGCCTGCAAAAGTCCACACATTATACACACCAATTCTGCTCAGCGGGGAGGTAGGAAGACTTAGGAACAGGAGGAGGCCATTCAGCCCCTCGAGTCTGTTCCACCATTCCTGTTGTGATAATTGTCGAATGCTATCGATTGCTTCCCCATACACTCAAACATACCCACAAACACAAACAGGCAAATTATTCCCTGACCATCACAATAACAACAAACAACAAATGACATTTGTATCGTGCCTTTCACATCACTCCCACACCTAACTGACCTTATAGTAAGCAAAGCACTCCATCTCGGCCGCGTACAGCATGTTGTTCATGTTGGGTTTGAAGTGAAGTCGGCAAGCAATGCTCTTGAGGGGTGGGATATCAATAGTCAGAGGCGTGACGCTGAATGGACTCCCGGGCCTGGCGGTCCACACCACAGACACTTTGCCTTTGGTGTAGTTGATGAGGCAGAAGGGCAGGGGCGTGATATTATCAAGCTGGGGGCAGCCCTGGAAGTTCAGCTCTCTTACACTGGTGGTCACGTGCGGTGGGAACATGGTCACATCGCTGGAGATCCCATCGTCAAAATATTCAACGATGGAAAGAATGTTGGTGTGCCCCTCTGTCAACTTGTCAGTATCCTGAGGAGGGAAACACAACTGTGAACTCAAACCACTGGGTCAAGGATTCTCCAGTGACTTGGTTAGTAAAGTCCTGTAGTGTAGTGATTAGAGCACTCGCCTCACAAGCGAGAGGACCCAGCTTCGATTACCAGGCGGGGCAAAACCTTAGGCACGTTTCTTTACTCCACATGCCTTAGTTTACCTAGCAGCAAATAGGAACCTAGTTGTTTGTTGAATCTCTTTCCAGGCATAACAACCCCTCTCCACTCAAAAAAAAATTTGTTCACTCAATCTACAACTGTTTATGGGACGCTGCTGTGCGCAATTGGCTGCTGTGTTTCACCCAAATACAGAGTCAATTCACTTTACAGTATATTCTGTGAAACGCTTTGAGACATCTCAACAACATGATTCAATAGGGGAGCGTCACACAATGGTAAGATGTTGAAAAGACATCATAAGGGGTCGTCACCTCGACTGTGGCTTCAGGTTCACAACAGGTTGGAGAGACCAGCATCAAGGCACCGTTCAGATCGAGTGCCAGCTTGCCCTCGGCCAGCATGATGCTCAGGATGTCAGGGGGGTAGGTGGTCAGCCGGCGGCTTGCGTTGACCAGGTACAGGTCGATGTGCTTGGGCTGCAGGATGGCAGGTGTCTCGGTGCTCGTGTGGCAGGTGCCCAGCAAATCCAGAAACAACGGGTCCTGTAGGGAAGCCAGAGAGACTGAGGGCTGCATTGGTGTATGTTATCAAGTCTGGTATCATGCCAACCATTTCCTCTCCTGTATTTCACCTCCTAGTCCCCTACCTCTGTGACCTGCTAACTCCAATTAGACCTGTCCACTCCCTCCACTCAGTGGGCTCCAGCCTGCTCCATGTCGCCCGCCCCACCATGAGCAATCAGATCTTCAGCCTTTCTGCCCCACCCTCTGGAACTCCAGCCCAGTCCCTCCACCTCACCCTCTCCCTTGCCTCCTTCAAGGCCCATCTCAAAACCCTCCTCTTCAACCGCATCTTCTGTCGCTATCCTACCCCACCCTCCCTGCCCTCCCTCCACCTCTCCTGTTCCCAACCCCCAGCTCGGGTGCAAATCCCTGACTGTCCAGCGCCTTGGGACGTCCTCTCAACATGAAAGGGGCCGTGTAAATGTCATTTGTTGTTGTTGCTGTAGTCTATCCAGCCCTGAGAGTCCCTGTACTCTAGGACCTTGGCCATTCATTTGGTTTTCTCAATACCAATACCAACAAATTAACAGCAGCAGCCCGGTTTGATCAATAAATTTATGAAGCTTGTCTTGTTCTCTCAGAGCTTCCCCCAACCGGCAGCGTACTCTGCCATTCACATAACCTCGTCTCCTGTGATCAGTCAGTGGGCCTTTCTTGCACTTGCTTTTCTAGCGTGTCCAAGGCCCTCAAATTCCTCTGGCTCGCAACCTTTAAATTTAAGATTGGTGGAAAAATTCTTGAACTCGGTCTCACTCTGCAACCCGGGTTTTTTTCCTGCAAGTTTTGTCTTTGTAAGAAAACGGAGTCAAGTACCTGATGGTGGATGAGGCAGGCCACTCTCCTGTAGCAGTTTATTGGGTGCGTGGGTCTGAACTTGAGTTTCAGCGTCTTTGTAGACTCCCCACCCAGGAAACCGCAAGGCTCGTCGATGACGAAGACGCTTTGGCTACAGTCCATCTCAAACTGGTAGAAGGTCGGCACGTCTGAGGTGTTGCTGATCTCCATGGTGCTCCTCGCCGTCTCACCCAGGGTCACACAGCCAAAGTTCAGCTTCAGCAGCTGAAGGCAGACCAGTGGACCTTTAACAGCAACAGAGGAAACAGACTTGCTTTGTCTGCGAGTGTAGGTAGAAAGCTTTGTGCGTGCATGTGGGGTCCATGTTTAAGTTTACAGTTGCTTTTCTCTTTCTCCCTCTCTCACACACACACACACTAATCCTCTCCATTTCTTCCTCTTCTGATCGTGCTTGAACCCATTTCCCTGGTAACAGAGCCCTGCCCATCGACCCAGTCCTAATCATTTGTACACACACACACAACAGTCTCGACAGTCAAGTGGTAGTGCACAATGCCGAGCTGGGGGGAGCGGGAGGTGACCAGAGACATGGTTGAAGAGGGTGGTCTTCAGAGGCGAACTGAAGATGGGGAAAGAGGGTGCAAGGCAGAGGGATAGACGAAGAGTGTTCCAGAGTTTCGGAGCATAGTGGCTGAAAATGTGGCCGCTATTGGTGGAGCGGAGGCCACACGGGATGAGCACGAGGCCGAAGCCAGCTTAGCAGAGATGGCGGGTATTGAGTTGGAGAGTAAGCAGGTCAGAGAGGTAGGCAGGTACCAGGGTGTGAAGGGGTTTGAAGATGAATGAGAGGATCTCGAAATCAATCCGTTCAGTGACAGAGAGCCAATGGAACCTGGTGAGGACTTCTGTGATGGGAGTATGGAGTTTAGTGTGGATGATAGGGAGTCAGCGGAGCCTGACAAGGGCTGGGGTGGGGGGGGATTGGAGTTTAGTGTGGGTGATAGGGAGCCAGTGGAGCCTGGCGAGGGCTGGGGTGGTGGGGGTATGGAGTTTAGTGTGGATGAATAGGCAGGCGTTTGACATGGGTTGATACGATTCAGTACCTTTGCAGGAACCCATCACTTTCAGCACAGACTTGCTGATGTTGCCCGGACGGCTGATGTGGAAGTAGTCAACACTCTGGATGCCAACGATTTGGGGGGTGAAGGTAATGGGGATCTGCAGCGTCCCATTGGCTGGAACGACTCCCTCTTTGATGTTACAGGAGAAGGCGGACTTGGGCAGAGACGAGGTGTGAGATTGCACAATCTGAAAGGAGGTGCACACCTGCCGGGAACACAGATAACCAAATGATCCTTGCAGTTGATTCAACAACAAGTTAATAATAATAATAATCCGTGCATTTTATTATAGCGCCTTATCACGTGGAGCGCTTCTCACAGGTTCTGACGAACAGATAAAATTGTTGACTCATTTCAGGGCTCTTCGCAGGACATTTCTGTGCAGAAAAAATTAGCTGCGACATTCACCTCCAAAACACACATTGCTACACTTTACAGTAATAATAATTATAATTCTTGCATTTGATATAGCGCCTTCTCGTGTCATTGAGACGTCTCAAAGCGCTTCACAGGATATACTGTAAAGTAGCTTGACTGTGTATTTTATGGGCGAAATGTGGCAGCCAGTTGAGGTGTCCCACAAACTGTTGTGGATTGAGTGACCCAAATTTTTTTTTGAAGAATTTTTACTCTCGAAAAGCGATTCATCAATTGACTAACAACCGGGTTCCTACTTACTGCTGGTAAACAGAGGCGTGTGGAGTAAAGAAACGTGCCTAAGGTTTGGCCCGTCCGGGAATCAAACCGGCTGTGCACAATTGGCCGCCACGTTATGCCCACAAAATACACAATCAATCCACTTTACAGTATATTCTGCATATAACGTGATAAGGTGCTATATCAAATGTAAGATCAAATGCATAGCTGCCAGCACCAGCCCTGGAGATACTCACTGGCGAGAAGTTGTGAACTTCCATGTACTTCTCAGCTGTGCTCCTGATGGCGACGTGGTTGAATGACAGGACACTCTGTGTGTCCTCCTGCCCTGAGGTTTGGGACAGCTCCCCGGGAACACTGAGCAGGAGGTGAGGGAACTTAGCTGTGCAACAAAAAGATAAAGCGATTTGAAGACCAGAGCAGCAAACCGGAGGATGATGAAAAGCTCTTTCACTTTGACTCACGTGCCAGAGAAGCGAGGGGTTGACAGAGTAGGGGAATGGGACACGAGATAGGAATAACAAGTGGGGTAGACAGAGCAACAGGTCTACTGAGGGTCATAAGTGAAAGATTCACGGGAGGAAGGGGAGGAGAGGGAAACTAATTGAGCCTCACTGATTTAGAATCACATACATTATCAGCCAGAAAGAGGCCATTCAGCCCTTGACTGGACCGGGCCTCTGTGCAATCACTGACTTATCAGAAGTGTTCTCTTGTAGAAAACTATTATTACTTTGCGACAGGCCCCCACCAATTTCCTTGCTGCTCTTATCTGTCTGTGCTTATTATAGTGTCACACACCTTTGCTGCACTATGAAGTATGGCACAGTTGTGCTAAATTTTAAATAAAAGTTTTTAAATTGTCAACCTCGTTGTGTTCCAAACCACCACTCGGCAGAACCACAGCCGGTTTCCCTCACCGATTGCCTCCAGCTTGACGTACTTCTTGCACTGCCCTGCGTCTCCGAACTGGCAGACGGCGATCACATCGAAGACCTGGGTGACCCAGGGGTAAAAGACCACCTTTACCTGGCACTTGGCCCTGGAAGCCAGTGTGCCTTTGGCTGGGATCATCATGAAATAACTTGGGGTCATCCAGCAGAAGGGTGTCGTCAAGTCACTGCAAAGACATTCATCATGTCAGTCCTTCACAAGGGAAACCATCTGGCCTCCAGCAAACTGGTGCACCTTCCCAACAAACTGATGCCACCTCTCACACCCTGTTTTATAATAATAATAATCCTTGCATTTGATATAGTCCTTTGAGACGTCTCCAAACGTTTCATCGAATATCCTGTAAAGTGGAGTGACTGTGTATTTTGTGGGCGAAATGTGGCAGCCAATTGCACACAGCAGCGTCCCAAAAACAGTCGTCGATTGAGTGACCAAATTTTTTTTATATTGGAGGGATTTGTACCCCCAGAAAGTGATCCACCAATCGACTAACAACCGGGTTCCTACTTACTGCTGGTAAACAGAGGCGTGTGTGTGTGGAGTAAAGAAACTTGCCTAAGGTTTCGCCTTGACCCACTCGGGAGTCAAACCCAGATCCTCTCGCTTGCGAGGCGAGTGTCTAACCACTACACAACAGGACTCTATGTTACATAAATGTAAATTTGTAAGGCGTCTGCTTGCCTCACCTGCTGTTGTACATGTGAAAGGTGATGTGAGAGGTGTTGAAGACAGCACAGATGGGCAAGCGCACAACGTCTGGCATCACCAGATTGTAGTAGGGCATGGTGGCCAGCAGGTCAACAGTGAAGTGCCTGTTCTCCACTTCAAACTCAATGCTGTCCACGTAGTTCCTCTGTGGGGAGAAAACAAATCACATTCGACGGACGCCTGGGAATCGAATTGATTGCAAGGCAAACGCGCTAACCACTCTGCTACACGACCCCCTTTACCCGGGGAGCACCAAGTCACACGCACCTCGTCCGATGAATGAAAACACACACAGGTAAATCTGGAAGCAAGTCCATGATATCTGGTTTGAAAGCTGCATTGGGCAGAGACTAGAGAGAGAGAGAGGTTCGTCCCAGTTCAGGAGTGTTCCATGGGAATACCTATAGATAAAGACGAAAAACGTAGACTCTCTCTCTCTCGCTCCCCCTCCCAATAAGTAAAATAACTGCAAAACCTCAACCCCACAAGAGATACCTTGCTTACTTTTCCCCCCTTCTCTTCTTCGCTGAGCTAACTAGGCAGATGAGACTAAGGCCACGACTCTAAAAACGTAAGCAAACAGCGTAAACCGGTTTGATTTAACCTTTTCCAGCCCACAGAAGGTGATGGGCAGCGAGTACATATTGCCAGGACACAGCACCACTGGCTGTGGGAACAGCGTGGTGAAGAAATCAGAGCGCGGAGACCTGCAAAACAGGAAGGACCGTCAATTCAAAACCGTGGATAATAAATATAATCCTTGCATTTGATATGGCGCCTTATCATGTGGATCATACATCTCAAAGCGCATCAAATAATATGTGTAGTAAAGTGTAGTGACTGTTTATTTTGTGCCAATCCTGAACAGCAGTGTCCCACAAACAGTACGCATGGATAGAGTGACTAGTTTTTTTAAAAAAAGGGATTATTACCCCCATGGAACGCGATCCATCAATCGACTAACAACTGGGTTCCCCCTTCTCTCTCGCCCGGCGTGCGACCCCGCCACTGCCAAGCGTTCCGAGACATCACCCTACGTGAAGAGCGCTGTATAAACATAAGTAGTTGTTGTCTGTTTTGGGTGGTTTGAAACTCTTTTGCGCGGCTGACCTGAACTTTATCTTTTTGCTGGTGAAGTGTATGTTCTTTAGTGTTAAATGTTTGATGTACTCTATCCCCAGCTTCCACGTTCTCCACTCCATCTGTTGCACCACCTCAATCCCGTAATAGTTTGCCTTCTTTTTCCCTGTCTTCCTCGGTGAGAAATCAGGGCCGAACTGACACTGGACATTGGCCTGCAGAGAAAATTATATAAATAGCAAGCTATGAGGTTTTAGCTGGTTAGACCCCAGCAGTTCCCCCAATGCAAACTCTGGGCTCCCCCCACAAGCCTTGGCTCTTGCCATTCTGTGCCTAATACTGTCTGGAATTAGGTAAACAGGATGTGTCCCTCCAGGGAGACGAGAGAGAGTCCATTGCATTCCAACAATCTATCTCTGGGATTTCCATGTGTAGGTGGGATGTGGGAATTCCCAGTTGGATTTGGAGACACTTAAGCAACGGTGATGGGTTTCCGCATGTGTCAGACACCCGGCTGGGCAAGAAAATGATGTGCGATTGAACCAGTGGAGAGACAACAGACAGCCTTCAGGAGCAGGAAACCTCCCATCCAGACCTTTCCCCCCCTAGCCCATGGGTACAGAGCCCACCCAGGTGTCAGCTTGGCCCAGTCGGTTGGTAGCACGTGTCAGCCCACACTGTATGACTTCAAAGTCCCTATGTCGGGCTTTAACCCACAACAGCTAAATCCACATCAATCCAACCTGGGCCCTTCATGGTCCATGTGGTTTGGTTCCATGGGTTCACAGATCAACCAACCTAGATGTATCACATTGTGAAAAAACTGTACCAACACGTACTCCCTGTACATCTTGTGCGGGCGTTACATTATAAATGTACACTCTGCCACTCACCTCATCACACCTCTTTTCCCGTATCTCTAGTAAAGAGTCAGCTTTCAAAGAGCTGGTGGACGCCAACATCTTAGCCTTGTCAAAGGAAAAATAAAGAGAATCAGAGGTTAGGACGCACATTTCACAAAATCGATCTGCATGAAGAAGGCCCTTCGGCCCATTCCAATCTCATCCCTATAGTTGAACACCCACCCAACGGTGCTCCCACCACAGCATCAAGCTGCTTTTTAAATGAGTCCAGTGTCCTGGCCTCAATCACCTTTCCCAGCAACCTGTTGCAGTCATTGATACAATTTGAATAGCGTGTTAGATAATAACTGATGTATCAATTGTTAGTCGATTGGCAGATGGCTTTTCCGGGGTAATAACCCCTCCAAAAAAAATTTGGTCACTCAATCCCAACAGTTGTGCACAAGTGGCTGCTGCGTTTCGCGCCAATAAAAATATACAGTCAATTAATTTTGCAGTATATCCTGTGAAGCGCTTTGAGACGTCTCAACAACATGATAAGGCGCTATATTAAATACAAGGATTACTATATTCCATACCCCCTTAACGGGCCAAAGCAGTGTTCTGGGAGCTCGACAACAACAACAACTTGTATTTATATAGCGCCCTTTATGCAGGGTAGCATGATCAGAGCAGACGAGAGGCAGAAGAGCATCACGTAACAGGCTTCAAAGCAGGCTTCAAAGAGCCGCGAAGGCCAGCATGAACAAACAAGCGAAATAAATTAACTGTAATAGTACGTGACCTTTCAGTTAACTACAATTATAATCGGGATGCTGTTCTCCTTTAAATCGCTTGGCAAATAAGCCACTCTGCTAGGACCAGTCTGGTGAAATGATACCCAGAATTTATTGCAATCTCACAACTCTTACCCCATTCCCCATTTACTTAAGTGGAATTGCTACACATGGTAAATGTAAAACCAATAATTCTGATTAGGTTAAAACATTGCAATCTGCTGATATTATGCTAATGACTTTTCTCACATTGATTAAATAGCAGGTATAAATATTCCATCTGAGTAAACTTGGCATTTAGAGTTCCGAGCAGTTACAGAGAAATTTGTGCATAAAACACCCACCCACACACAAACGCGCACACACACAAACGAGCATGTAACACGCTCGACACACACACGCGCGCACACACGCGCTCGAGCAGGTGATACACACACTCGCACACACGCGCACATACACTCACAAACACGGAGCAGCCCCAATAACATGGGGTGTTGCGATAACACACCGTCTGTGAAGGAAATTCCGCAAGAGGCTTTTTTCTGGTCAGCCGAGTGTCTGACAGATGCAGAAACCCATCACTTAAGGGTGATGGCTGAGCATCCCACCTGCACACGGTAATCTCACAGATAGACTGTCGGTGAATGCGCTCTCTCTCTCTCAACAACAACAACAAGATTACATGTGTACAGCGCCTTTCACGTCGGGAGGACGTCCCAAGGCGCTGGACAGTGTGTACAGTATTTCAGACCCGAACTGAGGTCAGGGGGGAGAAGGGAGGGGATATATATATATCATTTACCTCTCTCCCTAGAGGGACACATCCCGTCTACCTAACTGTACGAGCATATGGAGCAGGTTGCCAAGGTCAAGGCTCGGGGGGGAGCCCAGAGTGTGAGTTGGGGTAACTGCTGGAATCTAACCGGCGAACACCACACGGCTTGCCATTGCCGCCACCGCCGCCGCCGGGCGCAATTGGCTGCCGCGTTTCGCCCCCAAAAACACGCGGTCACTACACTGTACGGTGGACCCTGTGAAGCACTGAGAGTATCGCCCGGCAAGCTTTCCCGCTGGGCTGCGCTGGTATCAGCAGTGAGTGCCCTGGAATACTGCGGACCCGCCCGGCTCAGGAACCGGGACTGGAGACCGCCACAGAGGGAGGGGGAGAGTGGGGGGGGTGGGGGGGCGGGGGCTCGATTCAGCTCCACGGAGACCCCGCTTACCTCCCCTCGCCCTGGCGGGGCATCCGGACTGCGGACGGGAGCCAAGGGGGGAGTGCGGTGCGTTGGGTGTTGTGGAGCCCTGTGGCTCGGAGGGTAGAGCACTCGCAAGCGAGACCTTGGTGGTGGTGGGGGGGGGTGTGTGTGGGGGGGGGAGGGAGTGGGGGGTTGGGGTCGAGTGGCTGAACCCCCTTTTTCCCTTTTTTTCCCCTTTTTTAATAAGAATCCCCTTTTTTTTCCTAAAAAAAGAAAAGAATGCGGTGACTGAACCCAACGGCTGTTTGTGGGGGGGAGCGGGCGGGCGGGCGGGCGGGCGGGCGGGAGTGGGGGGATTGGGGGGAGGGGGACGTCGCCCCCGGGGCGCCATTCGCCCGCCGGGAAACACGCAGTCGCTACGCTGTACGGGGGGGGGGGGGTGTGCGCGCGTGTCCTGCGAAAGCGCTTTGAGGCGCCGCGAGGGAGTCGCGATGACAAGTAAAGGCGGCGCCGCGTCAGACGCGGGATTATTATCATCATTATATATATGTGTGTGTGTTATTATTATTAAATATTATTATATATGTGTTATTATTATTAAATATTATATATGTTATTATATATAATTATATATTATATATCTTATTATAATTAAACATTATTATATATGTGTTATTATAATTAAATATTATTATATATGTGTTATTATAATTAAATATTACATATATGTCATTATCATATATTATTAAATATTATATATGTTGTTATTATTAAATATTATTATATATTATTATTAAATATTATATATGCTATTGTATATATGTTATTAGATATTAGATATTATTAGATAATATTATTAGATAATATTAGATATTATTTCTTATTATAATTAAATATTATTATATATTATTATTAAATATTATATGTGTTATTATTATTAAATATTATTATATATGTGTCACTACAATTAAATATGATCAGTGAACACCATCAGCATCAGAGGCAGTGCATATGGTTATGATATATTATTACGGTATTATATATATATATAATTATTATTAAATGATTATTATTAAATGATTAGTGTGTGTGTGTGTGTGTGTGTGTGTGTCCCTCAGGCCCTGGGCCTCAGGCCTCGGCCTGGAGTAGGAGTCCGGGGGCCGTCTCCCTCTCACCTCTCACCGCCGCCGCCGCCGTTGCCCTTCTGTCGCGAGCGCCGACCGTTGGGCGACCGTTGGGCGACGGTTGACGCTCCCCGTCTCCATGGCGACGGCCCACGCCGCGTCGGCGTCCTCGTCGCCAGGCAACGGGGGGGTGAGGGGGCGGGGCCGAGCCACTGCGCCTGCGCAAACCCTCCCTCCCAACCCCTCCCCCATCCATCCACATAAGAGGGCATCAAAATGTGTCGATCCGGAAATCAATCCCTAATAATTAGTTAAATAGAGGACAATAACTAACCGATGGGATCATACAATCCTCACCAGGAGGGGGAGTCCCCCTTTAATCCGAGCGCCGGGGAGAGGGCGCGAGGGAGAGAGAGAGAGAGAGGGAGAGAGAGGGCCGTCAATTCAAACCCGTGGACGATAATCAATAATCAATAATCAATAATCAATCGCCGTCGTCATCCCAATAGTCATCCCCGGGGTTTGACCCGGCGCCTCATCGCGTGGTCGAGACGTCGCCAAGCGCCTCGCGGGGGGGGGGGGGGACACACACACCGTGAAGCGTAGTGACTGCGTAGCTTGAGGGCCAAGCGCGGCACGGCAGTCGCGCGCTACAGGCGGTGTCCCCCCCCCCCACACACACACACACACACACACACACACACAGCCGTGGGCTGAAGCGACCGACCTGTTCTTGTTTTTCTAAGGGATTATTTACCCCCCCCCACCCCGGAAAGTCATCCGCCAATCGACTAACAATCGGGTGGCTACTGACCGCTGGGTAAACAGGGGAGTGTGTGTGTTGGTCTGCGTGGGGGGGTCTGCGTGGGGGGTCTGCGTGGGGGGGTCTGCGGGTGCGGGTGTGGAGTAAGGAAACTTCCCGAAAGGTTTCGCCCTGACTGACTGACCGACCGACTGACCCGGCCGGGGAATGGAACCCGGGTCCTCTCGCTTGCCCGGCGCGGGTCTGACCACAGCGCTGCAGGAGCCCTGTGGGTGTGTGGGTGTGTGGGTGTGTGTGGGTGTGTGTGTGTGTGGAAAAAAAAGTTTGCGTTGTTAAAACGCGCAAAGACGTTGCTCAGGTTTTTGTTAGGGGGTCGTCCGTGGTCAGCGCTCGTTTCTTTCGGGGAGAGTTGAGGTGCAGATCGGCGGTGATCCTAATGGAATGCCGGAACAGGCTCGAGGGGCTGAATGGCCGACGCCCGTCCCTATGTGCCTCTATACAGTAACGTTACAGACAGACAGACAGCAGCCGTCTGTGAGCAGCTGTACTGTGTCACAGAGCAGACCTTATTTATAGGTTTGAAATACCGCTTGCTGTGACTTCATAGGTTAGCCGAAACAAATGCCGGGGAGTGGGAATGAATTAGATGGCTCTGTGGCGCACTTTGCAGGAGATGGAAATGTTTTCTGATTTAATGTTTCACCTTCCGGGGAAAGAGGGGAGAGGAGAGAGAGAGAGAGAGAGAGAGTGAGGGCTTCTCCGTCATTGTATTCGGTGTTGCAGGAGCGGTGGGGGTGACTGCATTGCTCCGAGGCGCTGTCCTTTGGGTGGGGTGAGCCCCCGCCTGTGCCCGGTTCACGTACACGTTAAAGATCCCGCGGCACGATTGGGAAAGGGAAGGAGTTTCTCTCCCTCTGCCGGTGTCTCTCTCTCGCCCTGTGTTCATGACCACCTCCCAGATAAAAATCGGTCACTCACACCAAGGCTGTTTGCGGGACGTTGCTGGGCATAAAATTGGCTGTCAACAAAACACGCAGTCACTACACTTTACTGTGAAGCGCTTCGACAAGTCCTCCTGACGTGAGAGGCGAGGATTATTTATTCCCTCTTTAATGTTGTTTACAGATATATTAGGCGAAACCGAACTACGTGCAGTTCTGCTTTGAGACGTTAAATGATGCCCTTTTAGATAAAAGGACATCTTTAAACCGCATATTAAACCTTTAATATATCTGAAACACTTCATATTAATCATTATCTTCGATCCAACACCTTTCTTTCTCATCATGGGGACAAGGGACCAATTTTGCAGTATTTTTTTAACAGATTTCTTAATCCGCCAATCGACTAAAGTCACAGTGTTCCACACTTCTGGATTTCTTAATTAAGAAACCTGTTTTAGAAACATCGTAAAATTGAGCCCTTTGCAAATCCAGTCGGTAATTGCCCCTCCGAGAAGCTGTTCATCCTAATGCTGATTCCCTGCTCTTTCCCTATCCCGAATCATTATTATTTTATATAAAAAGAGTAATAATCTCTTCAAAAAAAAATGTGGTCACTCAATCCACGATGGTTTGTGGGACTCTGCTGTGGCAACCGCATTTCACCCACAATATACAGTCAATTCATGTTACGGTATATTCTGTGAAGCGCTTTGAGACGTCTCGAAGACATGATAAGGCGTGATGTCAAATGCAAAAACTATTATTATTATCATTATTCCCCTCCAAAGCCCTCTGTGAGGATTGGTTTGGGAACAACTTTTAAAATTCAGGAATTTATCAGTACAAAGTGGAAAAGGGAATTCACAAACCCAGAAATGAAAATATTCTGTATTTAATTATAATCCTTACATTTGGTATCACAACTTTCACATCAGGAGGTCGTCCCAAAGCGCTTCACAGAATATACTGCAAATTATCGTCTTAGCAGCCCAACACAAGAGATTTCCTCCGGCAGTCACTAAATAGAGCCCTTTGTAGATTATTTTATTTGCTCTTTTAATGATATAACCTAATATTTTATTCTTGACGGCTATTCCCGTTTCAGTTCTGTGGATGTCGATATGTATGAGTGAATAAATGTGGATCTGGGTGTGTAAGTGTGTATTTGGCTGTGCGAGTGTGTATTTGTGTGTGTGTGTGTGTGAATCTGGGGGTGTATTTGGGTGTGTGAGGGTGTATTTGGCTGTGTGAGGGTGTATTTGGCTGTGTGAGGGTGCATTTGGCTGTGTGAGGGTGTATTTGGCTGTGTGAGGGTGTATTTGGGTGTGTGAGGGTGTATTTGGGTGTGTGAGGGTGTATTTGGGTGTGTGAGGGTGTATTTGGCTGTGTGACGGTGTATTTGGGTGTGTGAGGGTGTATTTGGGTGTGTGAGGGTGTATTTGGGTGTGTGAGGGTGTATTTGGGTGTGTGAGGGTGTATTTGGGTGTGCACATATCTGTGTGAGGGTAAACGTGTGTACGTACAAGTGTGTGAGCGATCGCCCTTCATCCCAACTTGCCCGCCTTTCATTTCCCTCCCTGAACACTTACCTACCTCCACTCTCTCTCTTTCTCCCTCTCGCTCTCTCTCTCTCTCCGCAGGGTTGTCACTCAGCCCTGCTTTGTTGTCCTTTATTTCACCTCCCGGTAAATTCCCAGCAAGGTAATTAAACACATTTAACTAAATGGCGATTTTAAATCTGCCCACTTATAATCAATAAACCCTAAAAGAGTCCGCTATCATTATCTGATAGTGTAATTCACACAGCAAATATTCAATTACTCCATTAACATTCAATATGGATAATTAAATGAGACAGGACTGACAGAGCAGGAGGGAAGGTAAATAATGAGCCAGGGTTTTTTTCTTAAATGATCTGAATTCATTGTATTGGCTCTAATTGAGTCTGTGGTATTGTGTCAGCTGTTTAGTTGGAGGCTCAGAGATTTAAGGTGGTTGAACAGAAGGGATGGAGTGGGATAAATCTGTGTTTGATGGCATTTGCCGCTGTTTATTGCATGACTCATTCCTCTAAACACCACTAAATCAAGCCACCAATCCGCAGGTCTGGGAAACCGGGATGCGACAGGCGATAAATAAACAAGGAGAAATGATGGTCTTTTACCACCGCCCGGACCCTAAAAACAAGCAAAAGGAATTAGCCGCCAGATTCATCACTTTAATAGGGTTTTGGCGTCTCTAAACTTCACCCCGTCACTTTAGCGAAAAGTCACCGTTTTATAGCGTTTACCTGCTGGCTCCGTAGCTTTGTCTTTTCTGTCAGCATCTGCACCAGCGAGCGTGTGTTCCTGCTTCCGTCCGTCAAATTCCTTTTCCTCTCAGGCTCTGCGCTATTCCCCCCAGATTTTTTTTTGGGGGGGGGGGTTCAGCCGGGGTGCCTGACACACGCGGAAACCCATCACCGTGCTTCAGAATCTCCAAACCCAGCCCAAGGTTTCCGTGTATCCCAAATACACGTGGAAATTCCAGATATGTTTATCGGAATGGAATGCGCGCTCTCTCTCTCTCCCTGGAGGGTCACATCCTGTTTACCTAATTCCGGAGAGTATTAGGCGCAGGTTGACCAGAGCCAAGGCTTGGGAGGTGGGGGGAGCCCAGAGTGTGTGTGTGGGGTCACTGCTGGAGTCTAACCGGCTAAACCCACACAGCTCGGCCATTGATGTCACTGTCCGGCAGCTTTCCCGCTGCTTGTCCAGCGAGGACCCCCCTCCCCGTCAGTTAGGGCTTTGGCTGTGGGGTTACCAGGAACTGAGGGCGGAGGATTCACTGCCCCCAGTGACTGGTCGGCCCTTCCAGGTCCTGCCGATGAGCCGGGCCGGGCTGTGCTGCCATCAGCAGTGCGCGCCCCGGGACACTGCCCACCCTCCTGGCTCAGGAACTGGGAACTAGAGACCGACACAGAGTGGGGATGGATTTTGACACATCCATTGCCAAACTCAAGAATCCTACCATAACCCACACCCCCTGTGTTCCCTTCTCAGGATACCTCTTTCCTTCCTGCGTCTATTTCAGTGGCTCTTTCTTAATTGCCATTTAACTTATCAAAACAATATCCTCACCATCCATTGGTTTCACCTCACGTTTCATATTAATTGCCTGACTACAGTAGGAGCTTGTTTTATAACATAGTAATATGAGAGAGGGGATTTAGCAGAGACAGTAATGAACCTGTAGGATTTTTAAACGAATGCGACAGTCAGTTTTGCACTCAGCAACGACCCACAAACAGCCATGGAGTGAATGAACAAATTTATGTGTGGGATTGTCGGCCAGGACACCGGGAGGCAGAGAGAAACTCCTCTCTCTTTTGAATTAGTGCCGTGGGATCTTTAACGTCCACCTGAACAGGCAGACGGGACCTTGGTTTAACACCTCATCTGAAAGATGGCAATTGGTCAGATCGCTTTCCCGGGGGTAATAATTCTTCAAAAAAATTGGTAACTCAATCCCCGTTTGTGAGCCACTGCTTTGCGCAATGCAGCGCCTTATCACGCCTTCGAGATGTTTCAAAGCGCTTCCCAGAATATACTGTAAAGTGAATTGACTGTATATTTTGTAGGCGAAACGTGACAGCCAATTGCACAGGGATTATTACCCCCGGAAAGCGATCGCCAATCGACGAACAACCGGGTTTTCCTACTTACTGCTGGTAAACAGAGGCGTGTGTGGAATAAGGAAACTTGCCAAGGTTTTGCCCCGCCTGGGAGTCGAACCCAGGTCCTCTCGCTTGTGAGGCGAGCTCTCTAACCGCTTGCGCTATGGGACTCCATATTGACCATTCCCGCCCGGGGTCAAAGTGAAGCTAAACTTCCTGGATAGGTTATTGACATCTTAATGCTCTATTTGTCAGCCCGGAGTGAATTTCTGCACTTGAGGCTGTTGTACACCAAATCAAATACAATTATAACATCATTAAACGATTGGCGTTGCTGATGGCTGCCGGTCGCTCACCCCCTGGAGCCGGGAGAGGAGGCACGAGCTGGGGGGGGGGGGGGGATGTCTGTCTGCCTGGCTTCTCCGGCCCCCAAACACCCTCTGGAATTGACAGTGGCTCTTTCGTGTGAAGGAGTCCGGTAGTTCAGCAGATAGAGCGCTCACCTCACAAGCGAGAGGACCCGGGTTTGAATCCTGAGCAGGATAGGGCAAAACCTTGGGCACGTTTCCTTCATACGTGAGAGGGGGGAGGAGGGATGATAATGAACCTCACACAGACACATTGGGGGGGAGAGAGAGCAGGGGATTGGGATTAGAGAGCTCCCGTGGGGAGCGAGCCCCAGCGCAGTCCCTGTTACACACGAGTCAAAGCGGTTGTTCGAGAAGGGTAAATAGTTTGATGGCTTTAATCTGCCATTTACTGAACCTGTTACACATGAGCTATTGGTACAGATGCTTTCTGTGGTGTTTGCTGAATGGATCGATCAGATAAAGGTCAATGAAATTGATTGGATGAATGATGTTAATAAGATGGAGCGAGTGAGGACATGTCTGTCATGTTTGTTCCCCGTAGGAGGGGAGATAGTGTTCGGTGTGTGAGGGGGTGGGTGGGGGGAGTAGAATTATTTATAAATGCAAGGATTTGATATCGCATCTTATCACCTCATTGTGATGTCTCAAAGCGCTTCGCAGTAAAGTGTTTATTTTGTGGGCGAATCGCGGCAGCCAATTGCGCACAGCAGCGTCCCCACAAACAATTGTGGATTGAGTGATTTTTTTTAAGGGATTATTGCCCCCAGAAAGCGATCCACCAATCGACAAACAACCAGGTTCCTACTTACTGCTGGGGAAACAGCGTGGAGTAAGGAAACTTACCCAAGGGAATGGAAACCTGGGTCCTCTTGCTTGCGAGGCGAGCGAACTAACCACTAAACTACTACGGGACTTCACGAGTGAGTGAAGAGAGTGAGGAGAGAGCAGAGGTGTAAGAGTTATGTTAATGTAATCCCCGATCACAGAACACGACAGTGTTTAATAGTCACATTGAGAAGCACACCCAGCAGTAACTGTACAACAGCAGACAGACAGTACAGACAGACGCCTGAGACACATGTTCAAGGAGAATGGATGGTGTCCCCTGTCCATTCAGCAGAGATTCACACAAAACAGTGACATTCAGTGCACCCGAGAGGAGAGGAGGGATGTTAACCTCCTTGTTGGGGGTAGAAAGGGGCTGAGGGGGGGGGGGGGGGGGTGGGAGGAGTTCTTTACCCCTCCTCCTACCCATCCCACCCCAGCAACACCGTTTCTAAACACGCACCTGCACACACGCTTCTTCCACGCACTCCCTCACGCACACATTAAATTACGTAAACTCACAGAACAGAGACTGGCCGTTTGGCCCCAATTAGTCTGTGCTGGTGTTTATACTCCACATGAGCCTCGATCCCTCCTGGTCCCTCTCCCTCTCTCTCTCTCTCACACACGCACACACACACACACACCCACAGGTATGTACCACTCAAACACAACACAGCTTGCAAATACTGTCTCTCACGCACTCGCACAGAGACGTGCTATGCACACTCTCTCACATGCACACACACTCATTCTCTCTCACACACAGGCATGCACACACACTCTCTCTCGCACAGACACGCAAAGGTGTATACACACAAATAGACATACATACACACACTCTCCCTGTTCTCTCTCTCTTCCTTACGCTTTCTCTCACACATACTCTCAACCTCTCGCTTTCTTTCGCTCTGTCTCTTTCACACACACACACACACACAAGGGATGGGAAAGGGAAAGGTGTTGGTTCACAAATATCTATTATTTTACATATATATATATTTATATATTATATGAGAATTCACATTAAAACACAGAGAAAACAAAAATAAATTAAATACGTCCCAACAAGAACAACATAGTCTTGAGAAAGGCTCGGTGGTTGCCAGCGATGCTTTGTGTGGCTTTCTGCTGGGTTTGTTCGTGTTTTGGGGAGAAACATTCAGTCAGTTCCTCCATACAACCTCTCCTGCCCCGAAACCAAGTCAAATGTAAGACAGACCGGGGGACGGGGAGGGAGGGAGGGAGTTGTAACCTCCAGTAGGGTATGGAAGTGGGATGGGGAGAAAGGAAGTCGCACCACATTACATAGACCGTAGAGAGACCATCACTGAAACTAAAGTAAAAGTTTCTGACACATCCCCCAACTCTCCCCCTCTCCCTCCCTCTGCCCCTTCCCCTCACTCGTGTCCCACCCCTCCCTCGCCTTCACCTCCTCAACAACAACAACAAATTACATTTACAGTGCGCCTTTCACACCCTGGCACCTCCCAGCCTCTCGGATCTGCTCACTCCCCAACCCACTACCCGCTGCCTCCGCTCGACTGGCTCCTGCTTGTGCCTCATCCCCTCCATTCCACCATCGACGGTCGGGCTTTCACCCACTGCGCCCCAAAACTCTGTCCCTCTATCTCTCCGCCTTGCTCCCTCGTTCCCCATCTTCAGGTTGGGCCTGAAGAACTTCCTCTTCGATCAGTGCCTAAGGTCACCCCACCCCACCCCCTCCGGCTCGGGATCAGGCTCCGCCATTGTCAAGCTCTGTGACGCTGCCCTGTGTGAGGGGCGCTGTGTAAATGCAAGCTGTTGTTGTTGTTGTCCCAAGGCGCTGGACAGCCAGGGAATTGGACCTGAGCTGGGGGTTGGGATCAGGAGGGGTGGAGGGCAGGAGGGTGGGGGTAGGTGGGTGACCGAAGGCGCGGTCGATTGAAGAAGAGGGTCTTTGAAGGAGGCGAGGGAGCTTGGAGGATGGAGGTTCCACCTCAACGTATAAAATGTCACAGTCTGCCGGAGAATTCACAACGCGGAGACAATCTTCCCGTCGCTCCGGATGATGTCGTCCTCGGAGCAGGAGGTGCTGGAGCTGTAGGGAAGCTCAGGGCTGTGTTTGTGAAAGTCCGGGGTGTGGGTGTGGAAGTTGGGGCTCTGGGACTCCGGCCTGCTCTCCCCGCTCCCTGCCTTGTCCACGTACTTCCCAGGACGCTGTTTCTCCACCTCCTGGGCTGCCAGCTCCTTGGCTTTCCGGCTACGCTTCCATTTCATCCGCCTGTTCTGGAACCAGATTTTCACCTGAGGAGAGAGAGGAACGAGCGCAGTGCGTGAGTGCAGGTGGAGAGGATCTGACACATGAAGGTCAAATGCAAAGATTTTTTCTATAGCTCTCCTCTCGACTGGAGCTAGGGCCTGGATGATGGGAGGGAGGGAGGGAGGGAGAGAAAGAGGGAGAGAGAGGGGGAGCGAGAGGAAGGCGTCTCTGTATTGCCTACCTGAGTTTCAGTCAGCATGAGGGAAGTGGCCACTTCAAAGCGTTTTGGCCGTGACAGATACTTGTTGAGTTTGAACTGGTTTTCGAGCTCCAGGAGCTGTTGGCTGGTGAAGGCTGTGCGCGGGCGCCGGCATTTCCCCATCAGCCCCGACTGTGGCTGCACTGGGAAACAAAACAGACAAACGTGTATATTTACACAGGGCAACAATTGATACAGCGACTGGAATGTCTCATCCCGCGGTAACTGAACGTGGAGCCCTGCAGCCTCGCAAGCGAGAGGCCCCGGGTTCGATTCCCGGGCAGGTCAGGGCGAAACCTTAGGCGAGTTTCCTCACTACACGCACGCACACACACACACACACGCGCCTCTGTCTACCAGCAGTAAATTAGAGCCCGGTGGAATGATGGATCAATTTCCGGGGGTAATAATCCCTCCAGTAAAAATCCACGACTGTTTGTGGGGACGTCGCTGCTGTGGGCAATTGGCCGCCGCGTTACGCCGGCAAAAGACACGGTCACTCCCCTTCGCGGTGTATCCCGTGAAGCCCTTTGAGACGTCTCGACGACGTGATAGGAGTCCCAAGGAATCCCACCAACCACCACTGGAGGGTGTAAATGCCCAATTGCCAGCGGTGCGGTGGTTGATGGGTTGAATGGTCTGTTCCTCCGTTGCGTAAAACGTTATGATTCTATGATTGATGTCATTGCACTTCTCTGACATTACGTGAGTAACACCCCTGCAGACAATAAAGTAATGAAGGGGGTTGGGAAGAGTTGTAGCCGGCGTCATTCTGACAGCAGGACTAACTTGAGCGCTTGGCAAAGACTGGGGAGAAAAAGGACTGAAAACATTAATTTTTCAAAACAATAAATTGGTCATTCAATCCCAGGCTGTTTGTGGGACACTGCTGTGCACCACTGACCTCCGCATTTCACCCTCAAGACATACAGTCAGTTCAGTTTACAGTGAAGCCTTTGAAGTGCTTTCAGACGTCTCAAAGACCATAAGCTTCTGTATCGAATGGGGGGACTATTATTATTAATGAAACAATCCCCGCACTTAATTTGGTTATGTACGATGCTGAAATGTCTCAACACACTTCCCAGGGAGTTGCTGTGTAAGGGTAATCACGGTATACTCATAGGCAAACACGTCTGCTTATAGAGTGAGCTCAAAGTCCCCCAGGCAGGGGCTCAAACCCACAGTCTCCTCCCCCGAGACAGGAGCGCGAGGGTCTGAGACTTTTAACGGTCAGCTTTGGCCGCGATCTTTGGCTGAGATTACAAATAGCCATTTCTATCAGAAAATCCGAGAGAGAGATTCCACAGGAAAATCCAGGTTGAAATTGACTTTCTGGATCTCGGCGACACCTTCGCTTCTCTCCTATCACATTCCGGGATCTAGTTCCTGTCTGAGCGAAGTTGTAAGCTTCTGGCAAGCGAGAGGACCTGGGTTCGATTCCTGGATAAGTCAGGGAGAAGAAACCTTAGGCAAGTTTCCCTTCCTCCGCACATCTGTGTTTACCACTAGAAAGTAGGAACCCGGTTGTTAGTTGATTTGGCAGATTGTTTTCCGGGGGTAATAATCCCTCCAAAAAACACGTGGTCACTCAATCCACGACTGCTTGTGGGGATAGTGCTGTGCGCAATTGTCTGCCGCGTTTCGCCCACAAAATACACAGTCACTCCACTTTACTGTATATTCTGTGAGGCGCTTTGAGACGTCTCAACAACGTGATAAACAGCTATATCAAATGCAACGATTATTATTGCAAGGATTATTATTATCTCCTTGCGAACCTGCAAAATTCCACCCAATCGCAGCCTGGAGACCCCAAAAGTCCTCCCGGTCTCAGCATGCGGACCATTTTTCTCCCCTTCTTAAAATGTAAGATGGTGCCACAACCCCAGAAATGTTTAAATTCAGTCTGAATCAGATTTCTGTTTGATACACACGCTCCTGTTAACTCTTCGCTCCGAGGAAAAAGGACTCAGTGATGAGTTATCAGGAGTAGCGAGTTAGGCATATGTATAATAATAATAATAATAATAATGCTCCTTACGTTTGATCACATCGTTCAGATGTCTCAAAGCGCTTCACAGGATATGCTGTAAAGTGGAGTGACTGAGGGTGAAACACGGGTTCAATTGCGCACAACAGTGTCCCACAAACAGCCGTGGATTGAGTGATCAAATTTTGTATATATATATATATACACACACACATTTATAAATGTATAAATATATATAAATATTGACAGCACAATGACTTAAGTGGTCATGACAAGTTAAGAGAGGTTCAAGTCATCAGGGGTTTACCATATATATTAGACATGTAAAATAATAATAATAAATCTTACATTTGAAATAAGCGCTTTATGGTGTTGTCAAGGCGTCTCAGAGCGCGTCACAGGATATACTGTAAAGTGGAATGACGGTGTAATTTGTTGGTGAAAATGTTTTTATTTTGATATTTTTCCTTTACTTATATTCATTAATTCCCTTTTAAAAGCTACTCTATGGCCTGGACTTTAAGGGTTATTTAGTGGCTAAAATTGCACAGTTTAAAACAGGCTTCAACTCCAGTCTTACTCTTCCTCTGGTCACCCTCTCTGTTATTTTCCTTTCAGTCAATTCCTTACCCAATGTAATCTGCTTTATTATTGAATATTACTGGTCTATTATATATCGTTGTTAAATATATGCTTTTTACCCGCATATTTTTTGGACAATACAAAAGGTAGAATGTGTTTTTTTCTGTACAAGTGGAGAGAGAGAGAGAGAGAGAGAGGTGTTTAAACTTAAAATGACTAAATATAACATGTTTTAAACGCGCTTATAAACTGTTCTCACGGTATTCGTTCGGTGTCAGTTGTGAGTCAATATTTTCTAAGCAATTAATGTGGCAAGTCAGGCATCAATCTAGATTTCTGGAGGTTTTTCGGCTGCTTTAAGAAAAACAGGCGACTGGAGTTAGCTATTCTTAATTTGAAAAAAATATTGAATTGCGTGTTTTTTTGAAAGACACTTTAATGTTATTTTAGTGTAAATAAGAGGCTTTGAAGTGGACACAGACTGTGTGAAACATCCCAGTGTGTGTGTGTGTGTGTGTTACACTCTCCAGACTCGCACACGGTTTTGATGCGGGCAATTTGGGGAGAAAATAGCGCAATTTTCGCAAAGGATTTTCGCTAAATTTTCGTAGTCGTCGACGTCTTTTCGCTTAAAGACTCGCATTCTTTCACCTAAAGAAAGTTGAAGGTCGGTGCAAATTCGTGTTATTATTGAATATTACGACAATATCAAGTGGTTTATTTTATATATGTAATATTTTAATTATATAGTGCTATTATTGCTTCTTTGGGGAGTTGAGAGATTTGATTAAACACAATTTAAATGAATTTTTTTATTGGATCTCGTTTTAAAACAGCAATATTTTTCGGTTCTTTCTGAAATAAGGATTAGATACAGATATTTTTATGCACTTATATTTATCTATAAACTAAAGAAGAACCCAAACATTCGCTGAGTTCCCCAGTTTTATACCCACACTTTAGACAGTAGTTTTCGCTATTTGAGCGGCGAAAGGTTCATTTTAAAACATTTCAGGACAAAGAGAAACCGCTTCGAAAGTGATATTTTTTCGGGCAAAAAAAATATGGGATTTAAGAGAATTTTAAAAGTGTTTTTTTTTATTGATAAAAAGGGTGTTTTTTCCAATGCAAACGGTACAATAAATAAATGTGTGTATTTGTGTCTGTGTCTATCTGTCTCTCTGTGTGTCAGTGTCTGTGTGACTGTGTGTGTGCGGCTGTCTCTATGTCAGTGTCTGTGTGTCTGTGTGTGTGCGGCTGTCTCTCTGTGTGTCAGTATATGTGTGTCTCTGTGTGTGTCTGTGTATGTCTCTTTCTGCGTCTATGTGTCTGTCTCTCTGTGTGTCGGTGTCTGTGTGTCTGTCTCTCTGTGTGTCGGTGTCTGTGGGTCTGTCTCTCTGTGTGTCGGTGTCTGTGTGTCAGTGTGTGTCTGTCTCTCTGTGTGTCTGTGTGCCTGTGTGTGTGCGTCTGTGTGTGTGTGTGTGTGTGTGTCTGTGTGTGTGTGTGTGTCTGTCTCCGTGTGTGTGTGTGTAAAATGGAGATACAGTATTTATTTGTCCATTTCACCTATTTATTTATTTATTCTGTGTCACAGACGCTGCTAATGACTCCCCTGTGGGCACTGACTGGGGGGAGCCTTGGGTACAGCCACACACTGTGCTGACACCCACTCACCCACTCACTCACTCACTCACCCACTCACTCACTCACCCACACACCCACCCACCCACCCACTCACCCACACACTCACCCACACACCCACTCACCCACTCACTCACCCACACACCCACCCACACTCACTCACTCACTCACTCACCCACACACTCACCCACTCACTCACTCACTCACCCACACACTCACCCACTCACCCACACACTCACCCACACACTCACCCACACACCCACCCACACACTCACCCACTCACTCACCCACTCACTCACCCACTCACTCACTCACTCACCCACTCACTCACCCACTCACCCACTCACTCACCCACTCACCAGAGGTTTTATGTTGTTTTTGCTGGTCAGACATGTGTGGGTATCTGGTCAGTAATACTGTGTTTTGTGGGCGCACACACTCACTCATAGTCACACTCACTCACTCACAGTCACTCACACTCACACTCACTCACTCACACTCACTCACACTCACACACACTCACTCACACTCACTCACTCACAGTCACTCACTCACTCACACTCACTCACTCACAGTCACTCACACTCACTCACTCACACTCACACACTCACACTCACTCACTCCACAACCGCTCATCAAATTCATAATATTTAATTAATTGAATTGGTTGGAAAGGTTCGGGAAAAGAGGGAATTCGACGATCGGGTTTTAAAACAGCAATAGTTTCCAAGTGATTTTTTTTTAAAAAAATTAAATAAAACGGTTTCATCGAATTCAATCACTGTTTTTTGTTTCCAGTGAGAAAAATTAAATTCAGCGGCTGTTTCACCCCAAAACAGTGTGTGTGTTCTCTCTCTCTCTCTCTGATACCTATTACTTTCGATCACTTTCGCTAAACTACGTGTCCTTATTTATAATATACATTAT